ATATTCGTGTTTCTGCATATTTTTAAACAATAACAATGTTATTATAAGTTACAATAAAGAAAAATGTTTGTTATTATATGTTTATATTATATTATTTTATTATATTTTACACATCATGTGGTGAGGAAACTAAATTCATTAATAGCATAACTGTATATACAACTTCGTGAAGTGTAATAATTATGAATRAATAACAAGTACAGTAATTATACGTCTCGTTAATCCGAACACGTGTTAATCTGAAAGACGCGGTAACCCAAACGGGCTTGAACATTGTCACCATTGCTATATAAATACACACATCYATGTATGTATGTATATCTTAATATTATAATAATATTTCGTGGTTTCTGCTTCAGAATAAGCTACAGAAGTGTTGAGTACAGCAATCTAATGGGCTAAAGAAAACGTTGAACGTTGAAACTATAAAAAACTAATACTGCTTAGCCGTTTGGGGGAAAAAACATTTAATCAACATATTATAGGAACTAGTGCTCAAATAAAAAAAAATCAATATTTTAAATGAATAGGTACTATACGTATCTGGCTGTAGATTCATAATTATAATTTTGATACAAATTAATACAGTGTGTATGGATGAAAATAAATATAAAATTAAAATTTCAAAAAAATTGATAGAAATCTGAAAAATCGGAAATCCGAATGACCTCTTTCATTCGGATTAACAAGACCCTACTCTAGCATATAGAACACATATCATAACATTTTACTATATGGCAGGAGTAGGCGACTGGTGGCCCAATTTGAGCAAAAACATGCTCAAAACTCACACTAAAAAATATTGAATTAAATTATTTTTAATAATCCTTTATGTATTACCTATTATATTATAAACAWAATAAATGCTAATTTAAATGTATATTTTGTATGACCTTTTTTTTTTTGTTGCTTTTTATGCTCTGGCACGCAAGATTTTAATTTTCTAAAAATTGGCCCTCGAGTAACTTTGAGTTGCCCATCCCTGTTATATGGCATACTAGATATTAACACATACAARTCATTTTAACAACTCTACAGGGAGTAAATATTTATTTTTATAAGAATATAAGCAAATGAGGGTTACTTTATAGGTATTGCTCTGTAAACTGATTTTAATCACTGATAACAGTGCAAGACTTAAATGTTGTTTAGTAATTTTAAAAGCGCTTTCCGCGTCGTACTCACATGACTTGTGCCAAACACTTCATTACGGTGACCACATTGTGTGTGTACAGTTGATAATGTTTGTATTGCGTCAAGACGTGTTCACGCATGACTCTGACCAGATTTCCCAAAAGCACATCAGTTTTCCACGCGGCCGAGAGCTTTTGCACGACACTTTCCGAAGAAATAACCACTATATATAAACAGTTATTACACCATATTATAGCAAAATCATAGCGTTTTTTTTATTTTATTTTAATGTATTTTTAAGTTTTAGATTTTGTGTGGATTGTAAGATGATTAATGAATTGGTTATTTATCCGTATCTTTAAGAAAATGATAAAATGTTCAATTTTAATAGTAAAAGSTTAAGAAATTAATACAAGGATTTTCATAAGTCATACGTTTACATATTATGCAACTCACAGCAGAAACCTAAAATCTTAAAAATACAAATACACAATTTTATTCTATAGACATGTCTAGTTCATATGTGGACAATTTATAATTTAAATTTTATTTTATTGTGATCTCAAAAATATTAATCATAAAGATTATAGAAACTTTTTCCACTAGGTATGTATGTTATTATTTACTTAATGCAATGACATTTTAAAATATTTCGATTAATTTAAAGCTATTATTTTTTTTTTTTTAAATATAATTCACCCCTCGATATCATTTAACTAATTGAAAAATAAGTTACAAAAGGCAATAAAAAGTATATACCTATGATAAAACATCCTTAGAAATATATGTTAATTCACCGTCTCCGCCGCTCAGAATCGTTTTCCGTATGCAACCACTGAATTTAAATTTAATGTATCCAAAACACTGACCTACTTAATGACTAGAGATACTTGAACTTGACTTTACACCAGAGGGTTCTATGATTTAAAACAATTTTTTACTGACTTTGAACAAGACTRCGGAGTAACGACTGGCGTAAAGCTTTGYCCACGTTCAGATCGCACGTAATCAGGTCCATAATGACTGGCACACTATCGATGAGCATGGCTGAGTTGGCTGTCTCTTTTTGGAGTATTTCGAACTTCTTAATGTACACAGCCATTCTTCCTCCGGCCAAACGTTCTATACAAACCGCAATAAACAGTAGTTACCTATCAATATATATTATCAAATCCAAAAACGGTATAAATAGTGTACTGAACTTACCAAGTAGAAACTCGTAGCTTTTGATTTTGTCTTGGTCGATCCAATTTTCGTCCGTCATGTTTAGGTTAGGTCACGAGTTTAAATAATATTCTAATTCCTTGGTCACAGCGCAATGACACTCATCGGCTGACTTGAGTTTTACTTCAGTTTTGAATCGTCCGCCCAAAAACACCTTAAACATTCCCACAAAACAAAAATTCTATTTTGAGATGACGCAAATTATTGTCATAAATTTTTTCGAACACCGTGGAGCGTGTATCTTGGATATTGTACGTAGACTGAATGATTAGTAACGTAGTCTATTCTCCGGTGACTAATGGGACGGTTGATAAAGAGTGTTTCGTCATCTTGGAATTTGGAATTGATCCGTTATCAATTGTGTTTCAAAAATTTAATCATTAACAGATTTCGACTAATGCGTAATAATAGTATGACAACGGAAATTAAAATTAATTGCTATATTTATTGTATTTTGTGTCTGTTTACTTACTTAATAAATCGTGGGAATGTAACATTATTTAAATTTGATATCAGTAAAAATGCATTATTATTTAATATTTACAATTATATCATATTATGTACATTTATTTTATTCTATAATAATAAATTATATGTACATTGAACGCGTTTATTTATAGTATGAAAAATGATAGATGTCAGTATACATTATAATATTTACTTCTTATAAATTATTATCCATATTAGACGCGTACCCAAAAATAGCAACCTGAATTTACAATATAATATGTCATATACAATATTTATCAATATTATTAATATTAATGTTTTGAAAACTTATTTGTATTAAATGATGTCCGTAATGTTATATAAAATATTTTTAATTATTTTAGATATAACTGTAGGCTACAATAAATAGACACAGTCAGGAGCAACAACCCCTACAACCCAAAATAGGTTGCAACAACTCCCTCAAAAAATATAAATGGTTGTAATAAGTGATTGATGATTAAAAGTTAAACTAAATTTATTAAACAAAACCAGGACAAAATTACATCGTGTGTMCATTGGCTCAGTTGCTATCCTTATGTCAATAATATTAAGTCAGCTGAAATTAGTTGAGTAATTTTTTTTATTTTTGTTTGTTGAGAGCTTTTTATTTATAAGTTATTATATAGCAATATTTCCAGTTCCTAATGTGACTTAAATTTTATTTTAAAATACTTTTTGATGTTATAGAAATTTAAAAAAGTAAATTGTTTAATCCACGAATATAGTGTTTTTATTTTTAAATAGATTACGAGAATAAGATTAAAGGTGTATGTTAATTTTCATGAATATCTATTACCTATATTATATGGCATATAAATAATGCTGTAACATTTTAACCTGGAAAAGTCAAATTAACCTTGACAAACTACAAACGGTATTAAAATAAATACTAAGTACCGTTATCCTTGACTTAGTAAAATGGCTATTATAGTATATAGTTTTATAAGAATAAACTTTGCTTATTATCTCAATGTTCAAGTATACGTAATATGCGAATCCACTATAATCGTAATTCGTTTGTATGTGTACAATAATAAAACTATAATTATAATATATCAAAATATAGTCGTTATTGAACATTGGCCAACAAACAATACCATCATTATGATAATCTGGATTAATATATACATTTAAAAAAATTAGGTAATATAAAAAATAACTGATAATGTTTGGTTCTATAGTTTGATTTTGCACGAAAACGCTAATTTCTGTAGTAGGTACCGAGAGTTTTGGTTCAACGATTTAAACTATTCATGATAGGTAAATTATTATTCCATGTTGAATTTGATTTTTTTTTATTATTATTGCAGATAAAATTTGGCTGATAAACATAACTATTGTCCGATGAGGTATACCTACCTGGGTGAAGTTATCAGAGCAATATAACCTTTCTATTGGGATTGGCCATCACTAATATTTAATGTACATGGCTCAATTAGTGAATTCAGAATACATAATATTATTATAAATATTTATAATTGTTTTATTTTTAGTTAGTGCATCTGGTTTTATTAAATAAATACGATATGTCAATGTACTATACTTTTTATTTTATGTTTATGTGTACATAGTATATATACCTATTACCTACCTATAGATATTTTGAATAGTATTTTATGAGTAATAGGTAAGTTTATTTATTATTATTAATGACCAACATAAAAAAATACAAAATATTAAAAATAAAGATACAAAGAAATTATTATAGTAGGTATTGTGTGTGGGTGTTCGCGCTTATTTATAGTTAATAATACCTACTATATTTCATTATAACTTGTTTATTTTTTTTGTTTGTATTTTAACACATTTCGAAATTGCAATTAAATTATATTAATCAGTTCTTTTTATAYTATATAATAAAAATAAAAAACAACCATGATGTATAGTAAATTCTGTAATTCCACCAATTCGTATAATGTTTCCACAGAATTTCAATGAGAAATGCGTACCAAATGTATGCATGCTGTATTTTTAAGTTATAACTTATAAATCACTTGTTTTCAAATAATTTAAAAATTATTGCTTGTGTCTAGGAGGTATTAAGTTCATTAAAATAAATCATTAACTCATATAATCGTTATTCCAATATATATATTTAAGTTTGCTGGAAACGCATTATTAAACAATTCATAATTTTATGTCATATAATATTACAGTCATAGTATTTTATTTTATTATTCCGTTTCAATGCTTATTATGTAATTTTAAATTTATAAATTTCAACACAAGAAAAAATGTATTAAATAAAATTATAATTTTTAATAAACATAGATAATAACGTATTATAAATAAACATTAATAATATTTATTGTTATAGTAATTAATAATTATTGAAGTTTACACGAACTATTTGCCCATAGTATTTTTTTTCGTCATTATCAGRAAAATATAGTTAGGGTTTGATAAAAATTATGTTGGTATAACCTGAAATTAAAGTCTAAAATATTCATCTAGGAATTTTACACTTTGATTCTATAGGTATTATAGTGTTCTAGAAAAGCAAATATTGTGTAAAACGCATTTAAAATATCATATCATCGAATAAATTATAAATGAATATCAAAAATAGTAAATATAGTAATTATAAAAAAATATAGTAAATACCAAAATATCAAAATATAGACACATCCAAAATTCCATAGATAAGTCTCTGACATTAACAATTTTATCACAATAGACTGTGGAATGGGAAAATTAAATATTTTAGGAACTAATAAAAAAATATACAAAAAAGCAAAAGATTTACCTCATACCAAATCTATATATCTATTTATATAAGCTGTATTATACAATTTATCACGTCGTCATTAGGTGACCTTATGTCAGCAGTCTTTATCTAATTTAAAACATAAAACTTTGATATTCATGAATCAYGATCGATATTTTTCTGCATTTCTATGATATTTTACGTTTAGGTTAGTGGTCTAGTATGTACTATGTAATCTATTTTTGGAAAAAAAATAAATATGTACTAATTTTAATATTCTTAATTATATTTTAATCATGTTATATAGTATTGAATAGTATGTTTTCKACTTGTCACTACATTTTAGATATGTATAATTTATATTAGGTACCTATTTTACAAATAGTTTATAATACCAGTAACTACCTACGTCCTACATTTGTATCATGAGCCATTTGAGTTTTTTAATAAAATTCAAGATAACCTACACAAAATATTAAGAACGATAGCGAACAGCCACACATATTTCAAATAAATCATCTGATGACATTATTTCCAGTACTAACCAAATTACCGAAGGACGACGGCAATGCTACACAATTTACTTCACTAATACCATAAATGTTTGTAACATATACAGACCTATATACATATAGCCATATTGAATTTAAACAAAAATAAATGTAATAAATCAATTYYTTGTACTGATKACCTATGATTATTCCATGTTTTAGATATAACGCAGTCCGGATATTAAAGATGATAAATTAAATAAATAATATATTTTTAATAAAGCCACAAAATTAAATATTTTTGAAATCTATATAAATTAC